CGTGAGATTGCAGTCACAAATTCTGCCATACCAGCGACGGTCAAAGGGACTAGTCCATCGTGACGGCTGGATGTGCACGTGTGAACTGAACTGCACTAGCGGAAGCTCTCTTCAGTGGTGCCGCAGTGCTGTTGGTCGGCTTTGCGAATGGTTGTGTCAGAAAATAGATGCTCTCGCGCTCTTTCCGGTGAAGACTGGAGTGTGAGAGGTTGTCACGGCGGTGCGGCTATCCCTTGCTGTGGCCCATCGGCAAGGGACGCCAGGACATCCTGTCGGTTGCCGCCGCCGCCCGTCCTCGATCCGACAGCCCAGAGTAGTCGATTGGCGTCCTCGTTTGTGTTCCAGTGTTCCATTGACAGTCCAGCGTCGCCAAGGTTGCCATCGACTTGTCTCCTGGTATCCCAATCCGAGTTTGTCTTATGTACCCCAGCTGCCGTTGGCTCGAATGCGGTCGACGTCTCGCAAGAGCAAGAGCAAGTGCAAGATGAGCTGAATCGATATTGCCTTCAATGTCTGCCAATCGCGAAGAGCAACTTGAAGGAGATGCGCATTTTCGGCGGAGCGGTTCGATGATCGATCAATCTTGGTATAGTGTCAGCCCAGGTTACGCATGCAACGATGACGGTGTCCATGAACCTACCCGCGATTTGCCTAAAGGCGGGAAGCACGTATGAGATCTACAGCAGCGATATGAACACAGATCTACCGCTTCCTACAGTACTTGAATCCTGCGCCAAGGTGGACGAAGCACCAAGGATTGGTTGTGTCCTAAGATCGAGCTGCCAAAGATGCGAAGCTATGGTATTGATGAATGCGCACTGACAGTCGTATGTGAAGGTGCCAACTTTGAATGGACTGCATCAAAGTCCGTTGACGCAGCGCACGACAAATGTCCTTCTAAGACGGCGACCCGAATTTGACACTTCCAGCAGAAATGTTGGCGTTTGTGGCCCCGACTCGACTTCTGTCGATACTTGACCGTGGTCCTTCGGTTGATTTCAACGGCGACGACACATCAGAACCCCTACTATGTCGATGCTATTTCGAGGCGCTCTGCCACGTGGACGCCCCAAATGGTGTGCTATTTGCGGTACGCCTTCAAGTTGATGACCTAAAATCAAGTATTCGTCGTCTCGCCGCTGGCAGAGCTCAGTCGCGCCCTCCTCTTGGACGCTCTCCAGTGTCGCTGTATTGCTTCACTTCAACTCTAACTCGATGCGAATGCCCGGCCTCTCATTCCCGCCTGGACTGGCGTGGGCGGTATACGGACTCCGTTCTCCGTGGCAGCCACGCTGAACGCTGCGGTGTATATGACCACGCCGCCTTGTTGGATGGGGATGTGGCCCCTGGTCGCGATTGATAGTTCTGGGATGTTGTCATGCTAGTGCGTCTGCCTCCGTGAGACTCCGTCGCTTGCTTATCGAAGAAAGCGGGCATGAAGCTGAGTGTGCCGCCGCCTTCTCATATGATCTTTGCGTCGCAATCGGCTTGTCGAGGTGTCTTCGGCGGGCTCGTGTGGTTTAGATGAAGGTCGCATTTAGTTGATGATCGAATCGGAGGGTCGCACTGAGATGACTCTGGGCATTTGAAAGGGCTCGGGGACTCGCCGCCGACGTAGAAGGTTGCGATGCTTGTCGCTGTCCCGATCAAGGCGCTTTTCTCCCGATGATTTACACCGCAGGAGGTGTTCCGAATCCGCGAAGAGCTATTATTGACATAGGAGCCCCAGATCTATTGCCATTCTAGTTCGCTGTCGCTGTCGCGAGTGAGCGATGCGGCTATCGAAGAGGGATTGTCCTGCTTCGCTCCTGTCGTAGTATCTGTTCAGGCTCTGCGGCGCGCTGTTGACCCTGCGACGGTTGAAGTGAGCGACTTGAGGTTGTCCCAGTGAGAGAAGGGGTACTGACCTGAGTCGCCGTCCCAAACGGTGTGCGATCTCCGCATGAAAGACCTTGTGGGTGATTTCAGTGACCGACACAAAGTGAGGGGCCTCGATGCCTAGAATTAAAGCATATCGCACATGCGCAAAACGGGTCGCAGATCGATTCGGCGCAACAGCATACACAATGCGCTGAGCACACTAATCGCGAGCTCTGGAGCTCTGACTGCAGCTGTTGTCAGTGGTAAAAAAGAAGGTGGCGATCATGCATGGTGTGGAGAAAGTTCAACATTCTCACGACTCTGAGCCGAACTCGAGCGTACAAGACTACAGCGCCCGGGCTAACATTCTTTCACAATGGTAGCTGGTCGGAAACTTCAAAAGTAGGGGTGCCCGGTGGCTTCGATTGCGGCGATCTGCTCGGAGGCATTGTGGAGGGCGTCGATTTGGGTTGTCCAAACTCTTCACATCCTCCAGTATTCTGTTCCAGCCTTTGGTGACGCCGACCTCCTTGTCGCCCTGAAGCATCTTCATCGCCTCCTCCGCATTATATTCATCAGCCGCTCGAGTCCGAAGACGAGCCCTCCGCCGGCTACCCCAAGTGCGGAGTTGTGGTATTCTGATCCAGCCAATTGCTGACCTCCTTCCCTGTTAACGTGTCTTCGAGTATTCGATCGTTGGGTGGACAGCGTATACAATTCGTGCGTGCCACGGGCTGACTCGTATCCTGACTTGTGGTGTTGGAGATATCGAAGATAGAGTTTGGTGGTGGTGCAGTTGGAGCTACAGTAGTGGGGGATCTGGTGATGTCGAGTTCGAGAACAACAAAAGAGTACGGAGTCGAGCGTGAGGAACATCACAGTCGCCATCCACGCACTGCTGATCTTGTAGTTAATGAACTGGACGATGTGAACGGTCAAGGAGTTGCGCCAGTCCTGGGCTACACAATGCGCGATGCGCCGTCTCGGTTCTGCGGCGCGGCCCGGATGTTGGTGCCATTCTGCAGACATTGTGACTGCACGGCGGCTCTCGCACGGCTCTAAGTATAGCGCAACGGCTCGAGCATATCTTTGTGAATTCCTCCAAGCCAGATCTTACAGATGCAACCTATGGCAAGTCTATTGAGGGTTGTCGGCTGCGTCGCAGACTCTGTGTCAAACAGCGCACTGAACGCAAGTGGAAAGTTGGTCGCGCTCCTGGCAGAGAAGCCTCCAGCGACCGAGACCTCAAGCTAGCGCGGTTGATCTTGAAGAGTATGACCCAAATTCGTTCCGTGAATCGCAAAAGGGGTTTTGGGGTTGTGCGGCTGCTGAGCCCTTCGAAGGCCAGTAAGGACTATGAACCCACATGGACATGGTAAATGACAATCAGACCCTGTAGACTTTACAAAAACAGCGTTACAGTCGCAGGAGATCAATCCTACCAGAACCCAGCGAATTGAGAACAGAGTACCACTTACCTGGGCAGTAAGACCTCTGTGTTCATGTCGAAGCCGAGCGACTCTTCTTCTGAGATGTCTTCAGGACTGTTTGGTCAAGTAAGATGAGCACTTAGCAAAGTTCTACCTGAGTTCGTTTCGCATCTTGCAAGAGAGCATTCGGTCTTGATACTGAAGTAGAGCTTTGCTCTAAGGATGCATTCGGACACATACGGTTCTTAGATCTCGAGTTTGTGCCTCTTCGTTGCATTGATAGCAAGTCTGATCGATAGAGTCCAGCAGCGCATGCAATATACTCGAGCAAGTGCGTCTGCGTACTCGGAGTTATGCTCCCGCAGACACCTTATGCTGTCACCATTTCTATTGGGGTACATAAAGATATGCATGTCGCGGAGCTGACTTTGGACTCATCATGACTGCTTCGAGGGCCAGTTGATGAGCGACATGGGCACACCAATGAATCACTCATGACCATTTGAGTGACAAAGATTAGAAGAATGTGTACATGGAACAAGAACAGTGACACGACAAGCACGGGCAATAATGGCATTGGAAGTAAAGGTTGAAGTTGGCTTTCATTCAATGTTGGGTAATAGCCACACCACCGGACTCTGAATTTGAGCATACAATTCATGGGTGAACCAGATCCAGGCCAGGTTGCCTGCACCACAGCGCGTTCTGCATGAATTCTTGCTGAAGCTGGAAATCTCCTGGGCAACATCGTTTGCGAGAGGGTCGTCGGGATTTGAGGCGCCGAGCAGAGCTATTAGCTGCGGAGATGTCAGTGGACGCGGTTGAGACGCGGGCAGGGTACTCACCTCAATTGTCTCGAATCGAATGGCAACGACTCTGGATAGTGCGCCTGCCACCGTTGATACTCGGTGCGGAAGTCGAAGGTTGAGGCTTTGCACCAGCGTGACAAGACGCACCACCCGGAATCTCTGACGAGAAGGCCGACGGCCGATTCGACCGAGACTTACGAGTGCCGCCGGGCGCAGCTGAACGATGTCAGTGTCAAGCTGTAGATGTGAGATGAGAAGGAGAAACTTACCAGTGATGTTGATGTTGTTGATGATCACTGCTGGCCGCGCCGTACACCTGCTCGGGTGCCGGAAAGCTTTCTTCTGCATGTCACCAAGGTTGTGAAGGCGTAAGGGAAAGGAAAAAGAGGAGTGAGGGAGGGGATGAGGGGTGTTTATGGTGAGCGAGGCAGGAGCTCTCGCTAGCGTAAGGCTCGTGCTGAAGCACGTTACCTTATCAACACCGGCGGTATCTTCCGAAGTCATGGCCACTACGATTGGGGCAAGATTGGTCGAGGTGACCTTGTTGAGTCAATGGGACCCACTCAAAGTCTCAGGCAGCAAGAAAACGAGCAGCTCCGCGGAGAGCATGGCGCCGCTTGACCGCCTGAGCATACCACAGTGTCTCATGCATTTGGTCAGAGATATTGAGAACGATCGATCAGGTGCAAAGCAAAAAGGCATGCAGGCAACTTGTCAACCTCCACGTGGTCTCATCTGACTACGTAATGCTACAGTTGGATTATTCAACTCGAACGTAATGATCGTATACGACCAATACAGACCTGTGATGCACAAAGGCTTGCCACAGAATTGGAAATGCCAAAAAGATTCCTCTACGTGGCACACACGACTCGAGCCTTGTGTGACACGCAGAAGAAATAAGGAAGGCCAAGAATCGAACTCGGGCCTCTCCAGACAAGCTGGAGCGTGCTGCCATTACACCACCGACCCTTCATATGTTTTGATGAAGGATTTAAACCTTATCACATATATCTACAGCTTCCGAGTCGAGTGCGCAGAGCAAAGCACAATACGCTCCAGGTCCAGTGAGGCAAGGCCGCGATGTGGTAGCATGATGATCCTCACAACGATAGAAATGTGGGGAGAGCAACGATTTCAGGGTATGAGACTTTTACATTGCGCCATGAGACTATCTGTACCTCATCTCAGAAGCCTTGAAGCGCTACTTGCTGACGAATGATCTTTCCCTTACATGGAACCGACTATCTACAGGCTTCTGTTCCCTACATCTGGAAGCCCTTCATCTTCCCGCCCATCTCTTCCGGCACAAGCTCAGGACGGAAGTCTTTAGGACGACCATAGTCCCGTGGCAGGCTCAGACGATGCTGCTTCACCATGGTTGCCACTATCTCCTCCTTGGACTGACCCTCAAGAGTCAATGTATCCTTGGTGAGCATATCTGGTTCGTTCTCGAAAAGACCAGATTTCTCAAACTTGTGGTGCGCGGTGAACTGGTCTACATGGTCATAGCCAGGAGCCAGGAAGAAGTGAAGCTCGCGAGCTTCAGGGAAGCACTCCGCCAACACCTCGTTGTAGAACATCCAGTCGCTGTCTATCATGGGTATACTGACCGTGTATACGACTTCGCGGATGACTTCGTCGGACTTGACGACCTTGTGGAGTGACTCGTGCATATGCGAATCCAACCAGGCTTGCAGGTCGACATATCCCTTGTGCTTCGGATTCGCAGCGCAGGTTTGCCGGATAATGCGGAAGGGACCGAGGAAGAGTAGACAATCGGTAGCCTAGATATTGTCAGTGAGCATTCGCTATGCAGGAGTATTTTTACTTACACCTTGAGGCACCTCTCGCTTAACCTTCTTGCCATCCACCGCAGAGACATGCTCCTTGCCTTTCTCCGGGAATGTGACGGGCGGGTTTTCTCCAAAGGCAATGCGTCGACCAGGTGTAGGAGCGACCTTGAGACTGGCAAGAAGTCCGGCACACTTTGTCTCCCACTCTTGAACCGACATGCTGGTGTTTGGCAAATGTTGATCGCCAGGAGTCTTGCCACAGGAGTCGTAGGGACCAACGTAGCTTCCAGGAAAGCCGCCGTAGATGGGACGAACCTTGTGGCTCGAAGCAGGTCCCAAAGAAGAGTGAAGTGAGCCTTCAAGGATGACGCCGCCTTCAGAGCCACACACTGAGGTGCGTGGAAGAGGTGCTGGTGGGGCTTCTTGTTGACGAAGGTTGCGCGCATTCGCAATGCGGCCACCGAAATCGCCAGTCGTGAAGCGATTGAAGGACCGCGCGGGGCAAGGAGTGTCAGGCGATGACTCGAAAGAAGGCGAGGCAGGCTTTGCGGGCGTGGCTTTTGGAGTAGTTGGCGACGACATCTTGGATCGAGTTGGGGAAGTCAGGGGTCGGTCCCGGTGTCAAAGACTGTTGTGGATATCTGCATCAATGGTAGTAGAAAAGTGGGCTTACAGTTGTGGAAGGTCGGATATATAGGCTAGTGCAACGCGGCTCAGATGATGGAGCAGTGCAAACGAGGGAAAATCACGCGGGAAGATTCTAGAATATGGCGCGATTCGTCAACGGAAAACTGTATGCCAGCGAATAGCGCGGTCTGAGGGCGACCCTTACGTGGTCAACGGTGAAGAGGCGCAAGCAGTGCAGCGTAGCATGTGATAGCTTTCATGGGATCGTTCACCCTCACTGCATCATCATGAAGCCATGCCATTTCTATGCTAGTGTGTATGGAGATTCGAGGACGTAGATTCGCAAAGCTGCTTCACTTTTACTCTTTGGCAAATTCACTACGGATAGTCTCCGCCCGATATTGAGCACCGCTCCACAGCACCGAAGCTCACCATCGCACCGTCTTCAAGAAGACAACTCTACCACAATGCCGCCAAGAAGCGGAGAAAAAGAGGAGGAGAAGGGGCACGCGTATGCAACAAGCTCGATTACAGGTGAGCAATGACTAAAACAATGCAGCAAGGAAGCCTAGCCCAGCTTGAGAGCAAAGAAAGCATCGGTCGAAGAGCAATTCTCTGGCTGCGAAGAAGATTTGGCTTTCGCCGCTGGGTTGGGAAGCTGTCAGGCGCACTCGACCAGCGCCTGGCGGTGGACCACCCAGAAGAAGACGACCACCAGATGGCGGAGAACGGGAGAGAAGCAGAGCGAAGAGAAGACAGCGAGGATGAATGGGAGGGAAATTGGACCAGGACGGGGATCTTGCAAGAGTACACGCAGGCTTGGACAGTGTAGATGTATACCACTTTGCTCACCACCATGAATCTTTGTATGCCACCGAGCGATGTCATCTTGTTCTTCTCGTAGCTACAGTCACCTGCGTATCCATCCAGCGAGCCCCGACGCCTATTGATGTACGTCCCAACACAACAGCCACCGTTCATGCACAAGCTTTCGGCGGCCTATCTGCGTCAGTGTACTCGCTCAAGGCAGGCATGACTTGCGACTTACCTCCTCAAGAGATGAGAAGATGGGGATACCAGCGCCCGCGGGCATACGCTGATCAGTTTGCAGCCGAGAGCCAGCCCGTGGCATGGCCTCGGTCGCGCCTGGCATATAAAGAAGTGCCACTGATGTGGCTGCTGCAAGTTCAATGTCAGCATTGGTGAGCTGCATGCGGAGCGACAAGAAACCTTACTTCCGGCCAGAATAAACACTGTCGTCCGAAGGAACTTCTTTCTGAACTCCGCGTGGCTCGTCATGGAGCGGAGCTGGAAGGCGCTATACGATGCGGCTCCCATGGACGTGCGTTGGGCGTCAGGCTGAAATCGAATAGGCCAGGCATAGTGTAGCCGTAACCGTATGAGCCAGTCAGCGAGCCAGGTGAGGAGCAAGCGCTGTGTGACGGGATTTGTGCCGTGGCACAATGCTGTGCCTGGATGCAGTCAGGAAGGCAAGCCCAAAGGTAACGAAGCACAGTGGTTGATGGGCAACTAGCCTTCACCATAGCCGTCCAAAGCGAGAGCAGGCGTGATCTGCCCTCGTTTCTTCCGTCACGTCGTAAGAATCATTAAGTATGTCGTAAGAAGCTGAAAGCGGAGCATCGTTTGGAACACCACGCTGAAGGAGGCGTAGCCTCGCTGGGTGGAGGCTTTGGCGGCAGGGAAAGCACGAGATTTCTGGTGAGGGTGATGTGGAAGAAGAGTCAAGAAGGTGAGTGACGGTTTTTTTATTCGACGTTGAAATACTGTTACACGCTAGCAGGGTTATCCCTATGCTCTCTCAGTCTACACATATATATAGCTTCCCTCATTCATAGCTATACAATCAACTCAGTCCTTCATTCTTCTTCTATATCACACACGTGAGAAATACTAAGCCCCTTTTGTACTCGGGGCGTGCATGTGACCCGAAAGACGGCAACAGCTGATCCCTGCCTTACCGGATCATCAAGATCTTATGGTCCGCCGCCGCAAAGAAGTCCTTACGAACATGCCAGGCGACTCCTACACGCCGGTACGCTCCCTTATCGGAATGTTCCAGCAGAAGCATAGTCGTTTCTCCAATCTCCAAAGCCGTCAAGTTCGCTGAATTGATTTGCACTTTCTCGACGTCATGCCAGAAGTCAAGCTGGCCAACTATTTCTGTCTTTCGATCTTCGTACACCAGAACGCGACCAGACCGGGGCTCTATAGCATGCATATTCTGCTCGGGAGTAGCTGCAAAAGAGAACCTTTCCTCTCCGTCAACTCGTCTGCTGACGCTAGTCCAGTCAACACGCCGAGAGTTAGACCCCCAGAGAGGGCGGATGCGACCTGTAACACACATGTCTTTGACTGTCTCTCCCCGTTTGATGTTGTCTTCTGGATTTTCTGATGTCATCTCTTCATTGTCGGCGATCCTGTCGAAGAACGACGATCTCGTGCTGTCAACATTTGTCTCGATCACAGTTTGCAGCGGGAGCGCAGCCCACGACCACGACGGCCAAGGGCTTTCGGTCGGGTCGACATTGTTGTAATCAAAGTCCACTGGTCGGTCTACTTTCCACACAAGGTCCGCGGGCAGATCGTTCTTCCAAAGACCGGCGAGATATTCCTCATGGCTGCTTGCGCTCGCATACTTCGCCGCCAAGCCAGACAAAGCGTTCAGTCGATCCTTCTTTATATTGGTCATGCTTCTCAACGCATATGACTTGACGATGTCCGCCCAGTAGGTGTGAAGGTCCTTCGAACCAGAGTTTCGGCAGGCCAGCAAGAACTCCTGGGCGAGTGGCATCTGCGTATTGCGGCCAGTAGTTGCATACACGGGTCTTTGTACCTTGGTGGCCTTTTGTTCGTATACAGGCTTCAGTTCCATCTCGTTGGCTTTGGCGCAAGACCAATACATCCTACTACTAGAGACATAGAGCATTCGAGGACTCAACCTCTCTTCTTGGAGCGTCCAAGCACGTCCAGCTAGCGGCGACCTCAGACGCAGCTCGTTCACAGACATGTCCGATGTTGTCAGCCATTGACCACCGAGTCGACATGGCTCAGTCCGTCGAGTCCACGCCTCGCGCTGGTCGAACAATCCCGAAGTGGCTCGCGTGGTGGCACACGAGCACAAGGTGAAGAGTGCATTCGAGTAGACCTTGTGCATAGTCGCCACACCTTTCGGATTGTCCTGAACGATGCAGAGATAATCGATCCAGGCGTAGCGCAGACCCATCGCATGAAAGAATTGGAGCGCATCGCGCACAGTCGCCGGGAGATCGGAAATAGCAAATGGGTCCAGACGATCCTTCACGTTGTTCATCACCGTCTTCCCTTGGTTCACTTGCTCCAGTTCAGGTTTCGTAAGCGTCTTCGGATCGCCCCAGCAGTAGCTCAGTGCCACGTAACCACCCGTCTGGTTCTCGCATAACCGTATAAAGTCCGACGATAGGATCTCGATCAGTAGCTCCGGATTTTCGCTGCTGAATTTGAGGTTGTCGCACTCGCCGATATGGCTAACGAGGCAAGTGTTGAGCCAAC